AATTTTCCTATTTTTCTCGATATTGACGCATCTGAGAGCAAAAATACAAGAGAGCAATATTGCTAAGAATAAAATTTGCTACAATTTTTATTCTAAAAGTTTTTTTGTATCATGCTCCGATTTCCAAATTTTACCGTTAGGTGGTAGTAAAACAAGAAAATTTATCAAATTTTTACTTATTCGTATTTTTCTCAATATTGACGCATCTGAGAGCAAAAATACAAGAGAGCAATATTGTTAAGAATAAAATTAGCAACATTTGTTCTAAAATTTTTTTGATAACATGCTCCGATTCTCAAATATTACCATAAGCTAACAGTAAAACAAGGAAATTCATAAAATTTTCAAATTTTCGTATTCTTCGCAATATTGACAAATCTGAGAGCAAATATACAAGAGAGCAATATTGTTAATAACAAAATTTGCAACAATTTTTGTTTTAAAAGTTTTTTGATAACATGCTTCAATTCCCAAATGCTACCATTAGCTAATAGTAAAAAAGGAAATTCATCAAATTTTTAAATTTTCGTATTTTTTTTTTAGAAATTGACGCATCTGAGAGCAAAAATACAAGAGAGCAATATTGTTAAGAATAAAATTTGCTACAACTTTTGTCCTAAAAGTTTTTTGATGACATGCTCCGATTCCCAAATGTTACCGTTAGCTAATAATAAATCAAGGAAATTCATCAAATTTTTAAATTTTCGTATTTTTCTCAATATTGACGCATCTGAGAGCAAAAATACAAGAGAGCGATATTATTAACAACAAAATTTGCAACAACTTTTGTTCTAAAAGTTTTTTGATGACATGCTCCGATTCCCAAATGCTACCATTAACTGCTAATAAAACAACGAATTCTTCAAATTTTCATGTTTTCGCATCTCTCCCAAGATGTGTCTTAGCATGCACCATAATCGTGGCGTTAAAATCGATGTTATTCCAAATAAAAGATTTTTTCAAATTCTTCAAACTCAGCAAAATGGACGCGATGGTTTGGTTATCAACGTTTTTAAGCGTAGTTTTCATCGGAATCGACGTCGGGCTTTTAATCGGATTTATAATGTCGCTTTTATCGATTTTCTTTTTAACCATGAAGCCATACACGTGTTTATTAGGCTCGGTCCCTCAAACCGATCTCTATCTAGACATAAACCGTTATAAAGGAGCCCAAGAAATCGCGGGATTAAAAATTTTCCACTACCAAGGCGGGGTTAATTTCGCAACGAAAAACTTCTTCAGATCCGAATTATATCGATTAATCGAGATGGATCCGCAAAAAGAATTAATCCGCCGAAATAAATTAGAAAAATTAACCTTAATCGACGATAAATCGGACAAATTTAGCCAATTATCTCCGACCGCCGTGGATAAAATGAGAAAAAAACAGGAAAAATTAAAATCGAGATCGAATTCGAACGTTCAATGCGTTATTTTGGACTTCTCCGCTTTGAGTTATATCGACCCATCGGGGGCGTCGATGTTAAATTTGGTTTGTAAATGTTTTAATAAAGTAAATGTGCCGGTTTTTATTGCTGGGTGTTCGGCGCCGGTTTATGAAACGCTTTTGAAGTGTGGATTGATCGAGACGAAGAGGAATATGTTTAGGATTTTTCCTACGACGCACGATGCGGTTCAATTCGCCGTGACGACGCAGTATTTTAATGAAGCTACGATTCCTACTGTTAATTAAACGTTTATTTTATTAAAAAATATATTTTAATTTAAATTTGTTTGTGTTTTTTATCTCCTAATCTAATCCTAGCACGTTTAGACACCTTAACTTTTTGAAAACGAAATTCATAAAATTTTCAAATTTTCGTATTTTTCTCGAAATTGACGCATCTAGGAGCAAAAACACAAGAAAGCAATATTGTTAAGAATAAAATTTGCTACAACTTTTGTTCTAAAAGTTTTTTGATAACATGCCTCAATTCCTAAATATTACCATTAACTGATAGTAAAAAAGGAAAATCATCAATTTATAAAATATTCGTATTTTTCTCGAATTTGACGCATCTGAGAGCAAATATACAAGAGAGCAATATTGTTAATAACAAAATTTGCAACAAATTATGTTGTAAAAATTTTTTTATAACATGCTCCGATTCCTAAATGTCTCCATTAGCTAATAGTGAAATAAAGAAATTCATCAAATTTTCGCATTTTTCTCAATATTGACGCATCTGAGAGCAAAAATACAAGAGAGCAATATGGTTAAGAATAAAATTTGCCACAACTTTTGTTCTAAAAGTTTTTTGATAACATGCTCCGATTCCCAAATGCTACCATTAGCTAATACTAAAAAAGGAAATTCATCAAATTTTTAAATTTTCGTATTTTTCTCAATATTGACGCATCTGAAAGCAAATATACAAGAGAGCAATATTGTTAACAACAAAATTTGCAACAACTTTTGTTCTAAAAGTTTCTTGATTACATGCCTCAATTCCTAAATATTACCATTAGCTAATGATAAAAGAAGGAAATTCATCAATTTTTAAATTTTCGTATTTTTCTCAATATTGACGCATCCGAGAACAATTATACAAGAGAGCAATATTGTTAACAACAAAATTTGCAACAACTTTTGTTCTAAAAGTTTTTTGATAACATCCTCCGATTCCAAAATGTTACCATTAGTTAATAATAAAACAAAAAAATTCATCAAATTTTTAAATTTTTGTATATTTCTCAATATTGACGCATCCAAGAGCAAAAATACAAGAGAGCAATATTGTTAAGAACAAAATTTGCAATAACTTTTGTTTTAAAAGTTCTTTGATCACATATTCCAATTCCCAAATGTTACCATTAGCTAATAGTAAAAAAGGAAAATCATCAATTTTTTTAATTTTCGTATTTTTCTCGAAATTGACGCATCTAAGAGCAAAGATACAAAAGAGCAATATTGTTAATAACAAAATTTGCTACAACTTTTGTTTTAGAAGTTTCTTGATAACTTGCTCCAATTCCCAAATGCTACCATTAGCTAATAGTAAAACAAAAAAATTCATGAAATTTTCAAATTTTCGTATTTTTTTCAATATTGATGCATCTGAGCGCAAATATACAAGAGAGCAATATTGTTAATAACAAAATTTGCAACAACTTTTGTTCTAAAAGTTTTTTGATAACTTGTTCCGATTCCCAAATGTTACCATCAGTTAATAGTAAAACAAAAAAATTCATCAAATTATCAAATTTTAGTATTTTTCTCAATATTGACGCATCTGAGAGCAAAAATATAAGAGAGCAATATTGTTAAGAATAAAATTTGCTACAACTTTTGTTCTAAAAGTTTTTTGATAACATGCTCCGATTCCCAAATGCTACCATTAGCTAATACTAAAAAAGGAAATTCATAAAATTTTTAAATTTTTGTATTTTTCTCAATATTGACGCATCTGAGAGCAAAAATACAAGAGAGCAATATTGTTAAGAATAAAATTTGCTACAACTTTTGTTCTAAAAGTTTTTTGATAACATGCTCCGATTCCCAAATGCTACCATTAGCTAATACTAAAAAAGGAAATTCATAAAATTTTTAAATTTTCGTATTTTTCTCAATATTGACGCATCTGAGAGCAAAAATACAAGAGAGCAATATTGTTAAGAATAAAATTTGCTACAACTTTTGTTCTAAAAGTTTTTTGATAACATGCTCCGATTCCCAAATGCTACCATTAGCTAATACTAAAAAAGGAAATTCATAAAATTTTTAAATTTTCGTATTTTTCTCAATATTGACGCATCTGAGAGCAAAAATACAAGAGAGCAATATTGTTAAGAACAAAATTTGCTACAACTTTTGTTCTAAAAGTTTTTTGATAACATGCTCCGATTCCCAAATGTTACCATTAGCTAATAGTAAAACAAGAAAATTCATCAAATTTTTAAATTTTCGTATTTTTCTCAATATTGACGCATCTGAGAGCAAATATACAAGAGAGCAATATTGTTAAGAACAAAATTTGCTACAACTTTTGTTCTAAAAGTTTTTTGATAACATGCTCCGATTCCCAAATGTTACCATTAGCTAATAGTAAAACAAGAAAATTCATCAAATTTTTAAATTTTCGTATTTTTCTCAATATTGACGCATCTGAGAGCAAATATACAAGAGAGCAATATTGTTAAGAACAAAATTTGCTACAACTTTTGTTCTAAAAGTTTTTTGATAACATGCTCCGATTCCCAAATGTTACCATTAGCTAATAGTAAAACAAGAAAATTCATCAAATTTTTAAATTTTCGTATTTTTCTCAATATTGACGCATCTGAGAGCAAATATACAAGAGAGCAATATTGTTAAGAACAAAATTTGCTACAACTTTTGTTCTAAAAGTTTTTTGATAACATGCTCCGATTCCCAAATGTTACCATTAGCTAATAGTAAAACAAGAAAATTCATCAAATTTTTAAATTTTCGTATTTTTCTCAATATTGACGCATCTGAGAGCAAATATACAAGAGAGCAATATTGTTAAGAACAAAATTTGCTACAACTTTTGTTCTAAAAGTTTTTTGATAACATGCTCCGATTCCCAAATGTTACCATTAGCTAATAGTAAAACAAGAAAATTCATCAAATTTTTAAATTTTCGTATTTTTCTCAATATTGACGCATCTGAGAGCAAATATACAAGAGAGCAATATTGTTAAGAACAAAATTTGCTACAACTTTTGTTCTAAAAGTTTTTTGATAACATGCTACGATTCCCAAATGTTACCATTAGCTAATAGTAAAACAAAGAAACTCATCAAATTTTTAAATTTTCGTATTTTTCTCAATTTTGACGCATCTGAGAGCAAAAGTAAAAGAGACCAATATTGTTAAGAACAAAGTTTGCTACAACTTTTGTTTTAAAAGTTTTTTTATAAAATACTCCGATTCCATGATAGACCTGCAATTTTCGCCGATTAAACTTTCATAATAAAATAAATTAATACAAATCAACATTAATATAGTATTAATCATAAATTTCTCTTTATTACAGACCTACATCAGCTTATTCGCCGAAATAACCCATTTGAATTTCGTGGCAACCCTCATTTCCGTCGTAACAATCGGCGTCATGTTATTCAACAACGAAATATTAAAAGTAACCAAATCAAATTAACAAACACTCCCAAAAATAACTAATTTTTATAACTAATTTCAAATTTTAGCCCAAAGTCGCCAAGTTATGCTCATTTCCAATCCCCATCGAGCTCATGGTCATCGTTTTTGGCACTTTAATTTCATATCTATTCAGTTTGAACCAAAATAACGGGATTAAAATCGTCGGGGAAGTCCCAAAAGGGTATTTATTATATTTAAAAAAAATTTATTTAATTTATAATTAAATAATTAATTTTAGATTACCTTTTCCAATGGCGCCCCCTTTTTCTTTAATGAATGAGATCATGTTGGATAGTTTTATAATAGCCGTCGTATCTTACACGATAAATTTATCCATGGGGATGATTTTTGCTCAAAAATTAGGATACGAAGTCGATGCCAATCAAGAACTTTTAGCTCAAGGAGTTGGGAATATGTTCGGCTCATTTTTCCAATGTATGCCTTACACAGCTTCGTTATCTCGCTCGGTTATCCAACAAACAGTTGGGGGAAGAACCCAATTAGCTTCTTTGGTGTCATGCAGCTTATTAGTGATCGTTCTGATGTGGATTGGACCATTTTTTGAGCCTCTCCCACGATGTGTCTTAGCAAGTACCATAATCGTGGCGTTAAAATCGATGTTATTCCAAATAAAAGATTTTTTCAAATTCTTCAAACTCAGCAAAATGGACGCGATGGTTTGGTTATCAACGTTTTTAAGCGTAGTTTTCATCGGAATCGACGTCGGGCTTTTAATCGGATTTATAATGTCGCTTTTATCGATTTTCTTTTTAACCATGAAGCCATACACGTGTTTATTAGGCTCGGTCCCTCAAACCGATCTCTATCTAGACATAAACCGTTATAAAGGAGCCCAAGAAATCGCGGGATTAAAAATTTTCCACTACCAAGGCGGGGTTAATTTCGCAACGAAAAACTTCTTCAGATCCGAATTATATCGATTAATCGAGATGGATCCGCAAAAAGAATTAATCCGCCGAAATAAATTAGAAAAATTAACCTTAATCNTACCATTAGCTAATAGTAAAACAAGGAAATTCATCAAATTTTCAAATATTCGTATTTTTCTCAATTTTGACGCATCTGAGAGCAAATATACAAGACAGCCATATTGTTAGGAATAAAATTTGCTACAACTTTTATTATAAAAGTTTTTTGATAACATGCTCCGATTCCCAAATGTTACCATTAGCTAATAGTAAAACAAGGAAATTCATCAAATTTTCAAATTTTCGTATTTTTCTCAATATTGACGAGTCTGAGAGCAAATGTACAAGAGAGTAATATTGTTAATAACAAAATTTGCACCAACTTTTGTTCTAAAAGTTTTTTGATAACATGCTCCGATTCCCAAATGTTACCATTAACTAATATTAAAACAAAGAAATTCATCAAATTTTCGAATTTTTCGTATTTTTCTCGATATTGACGCATCTGAGAGCAAAAATAGGAAAGAGCAATATTGTTAATAACAAAATTTCCAACAACTTTTGCACTAAAAGTTTTTTTATAACATACTTCGATTCCCGAATATTACCATTAGCTAATAGTTAAACAAGAAAATTCATGAATTTTTTAAATTTTCGTATTTTTCTCAATATTGACGCATCTGAGAGCAAAAATACAAGAGAGTAATATTGTTAATAACAACATTTGCAACAACTTTTGTTCTAAAAGTTTTTTTATAACATGCTCCGATTCCCAAATGTTACCATTAACACTAATAAAACAAATAAATTCATCAAATTTTCGTATATTTCTCAATATTGACGCATCTGAGAGCAAAAATACAAGAGAGCAATATTGTTAAGAATAAAATTTGCTACAACTTTTGTCCTAAAAGTTTTTTGATGACATGCTCCGATTCCCAAATGTTACCGTTAGCTAATAATAAATCAAGGAAATTCATCAAATTTTTAAATTTTCGTATTTTTCTCAATATTGACGCATCTGAGAGCAAAAATACAAGAGAGCGATATTATTAACAACAAAATTTGCAACAACTTTTGTTCTAAAAGTTTTTTGATGACATGCTCCGATTCCCAAATGCTACCATTAACTGCTAATAAAACAACGAATTCTTCAAATTTTCATGTTTTCGCATCTCTCCCAAGATGTGTCTTAGCAAGCACCATAATCGTGGCGTTAAAATCGATGTTATTCCAAATAAAAGATTTTTTCAAATTCTTCAAACTCAGCAAAATGGACGCGATGGTTTGGTTATCAACGTTTTTAAGCGTAGTTTTCATCGGAATCGACGTCGGGCTTTTAATCGGATTTATAATGTCGCTTTTATCGATTTTCTTTTTAACCATGAAGCCATACACGTGTTTATTAGGCTCGGTCCCTCAAACCGATCTCTATCTAGACATAAACCGTTATAAAGGAGCCCAAGAAATCGCGGGATTAAAAATTTTCCACTACCAAGGCGGGGTTAATTTCGCAACGAAAAACTTCTTCAGATCCGAATTATATCGATTAATCGAGATGGATCCGCAAAAAGAATTAATCCGCCGAAATAAATTAGAAAAATTAACCTTAATCGACGATAAATCGGACAAATTTAGCCAATTATCTCCGACCGCCGTGGATAAAATGAGAAAAAAACAGGAAAAATTAAAATCGAGATCAAACTCGAACGTTCAATGCGTTATTTTGGACTTCTCCGCTTTGAGTTATATCGACCCATCGGGGGCGTCGATGTTAAATTTGGTTTGTAAATGTTTTAATAAAGTAAATGTGCCGGTTTTTATTGCTGGGTGTTCGGCGCCGGTTTATGAAACGCTTTTGAAGTGTGGATTGATCGAGACGAAGAGGAATATGTTTAGGATTTTTCCTACGACGCACGATGCGGTTCAATTCGCCGTGACGACGCAGTATTTTAACGAAGCTACGATTCCTACTGTTAATTGAACGTTTATTTTATTAAAAAATATATTTTAATTTAAATTTGTTTGTTTTTTAATCTCCTAATCTAATGCTAGCACATTTAGACACCTTAACTTTAAGAAAACGAAATTCATAAAATTTTGATATTTTCGTATTTTTCTCGAAATTGATGCATCTGGGAGCAAAAATACAAGAAAGCAATATTGTTAAGAATAAAATTTGCTACAACTCTTGTTCTAAAAGTTTTTTGATAACACGCCTCAATTCCTAAATATTACCATTAGCTAACGATAAAACAAGGAAATTCATCAATTTTTTAATTTTCGTATTTTTCTCAATATTGACGCATCTGAGAACAATTATACAAGAGAGCAATATTGTTAACAACAAAATTTGCAACAACTTTTGTTCTAAAAGTTTTTTGATAACATCCTCCGATTCCCAAATGTTACCATTAGTTAATAATAAAACAAAAAAATTCATCAAATTTTTAAATTTTTGTATATTTCTCAATATTGACGCATCCAAGAGCAAAAATACAAGAGAGCAATATTGTTAAGAACAAAATTTGCAATAACTTTTGTTTTAAAAGTTCTTTGATCACATATTCCAATTCCCAAATGTTACCATTAGCTAATAGTAAAAAAGGAAAATCATCAATTTTTTTAATTTTCGTATTTTTCTCGAAATTGACGCATCTAAGAGCAAAGATACAAAAGAGCAATATTGTTAATAACAAAATTTGCTACAACTTTTGTTTTAGAAGTTTCTTGATAACTTGCTCCAATTCCCAAATGCTACCATTAGCTAATAGTAAAACAAAAAAATTCATGAAATTTTCAAATTTTCGTATTTTTTTCAATATTGATGCATCTGAGCGCAAATATACAAGAGAGCAATATTGTTAATAACAAAATTTGCAACAACTTTTGTTCTAAAAGTTTTTTGATAACTTGTTCCGATTCCCAAATGTTACCATCAGTTAATAGTAAAACAAAAAAATTCATCAAATTATCAAATTTTAGTATTTTTCTCAATATTGACGCATCTGAGAGCAAAAATATAAGAGAGCAATATTGTTAAGAATAAAATTTGCTACAACTTTTGTTCTAAAAGTTTTTTGATAACATGCTCCGATTCCCAAATGCTACCATTAGCTAATACTAAAAAAGGAAATTCATAAAATATTTAAATTTTCGTATTTTTCTCAATATTGACGCATCTGAGAGCAAAAATACAAGAGAGCAATATTGTTAAGAATAAGATTAGCTACAACTTTTATTATAAAAGTTTTTTGATAACATGCTTCGATTCCCCAATGTTACCATTAAGAACTAATAAGACAATGAAATTCATCTAATCGCTTCTAAGATGAATATAAAAGTGATGGAGGAAAATTATTAAAAAAAAAAATAATTATTTATCCATCATTTACTATTGAACAGTTACAACGTCTAAATTCTGGAAATTCTTAAAATTGATGTTTTTGATGTTAAAATCACTTCTAAGATGAAAAGTAAAAGTGATGGAGGATAATTATTTTAATAAAAAATGTTCTTAATGTACTCAAAGAACATCATCCGCAAACATATTTAATGCATAATTCATTATTAGAATGTTATAATGTCTAAATAATGGAAATTCTTAAAATTAATGTTTTTGATGTTAAAATCACTTCTAAGATGAAAAGTAAAAGTGATGGAGGATAATTATTTTAATAAAAAATGTTCTTAATGAACCTAAAGAATATTATACGCAAACTTAGCTAATAGTAAAACAAAGTAATTCATCAAATTTTCGTATTTTTCTCAATATTGACGAATCTGTGAGCAAATATACAAGAGAGCAATATTGTTAATAACAAAATTTGCAACAACTTTTGTTTTAAAAGTTTTTTGATAACTTGCTCCGATTCCCAAATGCTACCATTAGCTAATAGTAAAATAAGGAAATTCATCAAATTTTCGCATTTGTCTCAATATTGACGCATGTGAGAGCAAAAATACAAGAAAGCAATATTGTTAACAACAAAATTTGCAACAACTTTTGTTCTAAAAGTTTTTTGATAACATGCCTCAATTCCTTTTGATAACATGCTCCGATTCCCAAATGCTACCATTAGCTAATACTAAAAAAGGAAATTCATAAAATTTTTAAATTTTCGTATTTTTCTCAATATTGACGCATCTGAGAGCAAATATACAAGAGAGTAATATTGTTAAGAATAAAATTAGCTACAGCTTTTGTTATAAAAGTTTTTTGATAACATGCTCCAATTTCCAGATATTACCATTAGCTAATAGTAAAACAAAGAAATTCATCAAATTTTCCTATTTTTCTCAATATTGACGCATCTGAGAGCAAAAATACAAGAGAGCAATATTGTTAACAACAAAATTTGCAACAACTTCTGTTCTAAAAGTTTTTTGATGACATGCTCCGATTCCCAAATGCTACCGTTAGCTAGTACTAAAAAAGAAAATTCATCAAATTTTCATATGTTTGTATTTTTCTCAATATTGACACATCTGAGAGCAAAAAGACAAGAGAGCAATATTGTTAGTAACAAAATTTGCAACAACTTTTGTTTTAAAAGTTTTTTGATAACATACTTCGATTCCCAAATGTTACCATTGGCTAATAGTAAAACAAAGAAATTCATCAAATTTTCGTATTTTTCTCAATATTGACGCATCTAAGAGCAAAAATACAAGAGAGCAATATTGTTACGAATAATATTTGCTACAACTTTTGTTCTAAAAGTCTTTTGATAACATACTTCGATTCCCAAATGTTACCATTAGCTAATAGTAAAACAAAGAAATTCATCAAATTTTCGTATTTTTCTCAATATTGACGCATCTAAGAGCAAAAATACAAGAGAGCAATATTGTTACGAATAATATTTGCTACAACTTTTGTTCTAAAAGTCTTTTGATAACATGCTTCGATTCCCAAATGTTACCATTAGCTAATAGTAAAACAAAGAAATTCATCAAATTTTCAAATTTTCGTATTTTTCTCAATATTGACGCATCCAAGAGCAAAAATACAAAAGAGCAATATTGTTAATAAAAAAATTTGCAACAACTTTTGTTCTAAAAGTTTTTGATAACATGCTCCGATTCCCAAATGCTACCATTAGCTAATAACAAAACAAGGAAACTCATCAAATTTTCAAACTTTCGTATTTTTCTCAATATTGACGCATCTGAGAGCAAAAATACAAGAGAGCAATATTGCTAAGAATAAAATTTGCTACAACTTTTGTTTCAAAAGTTTTTTGATAACATGCTCCGATTCCCAAATGTTACCATTAGTTAATAGTAAAACAAGGAAATTCATCAAATTTTTAAATTTTCGTATTTTTCTCAATATTGACCATCTGAGAGCAAATATACAAGAGAGCAATATTGTTAAGAATAAGATTCGCTACAACTTTCGTTCCAAAAGTTTTTTTATAACAGTCTCTCTTCATCTCATCCCACCAATACATCTTTAATACGATCTTAAAGATTTACTCGATTTTCTAATTTTTTAACATTCCACACTTTTTAACGTCGCCATTCCTATTTCATCTTTTATCTTCATTTTGTTTATCCATCAGATAGCAAAATGCTTTACTTTCATTTGATTTCCAGGCTATACCTATTATAGCTTCATTGACTTTGTCGCTGATCATGAGGTAACCCGAAACTGATATGACTTTATATAAATAAATGCAAGTTAGAAGTTTTTACACGGTTTTTATTTGATCATTAATCTTGCAACATGGATAAATCTTTTAAAATTCATTAAGTTTTCGCATTTTTGTGTTTTCTCAATATTGACACATCTGAGAGCAACAGTGCAAGAGAACAATATTATTAAGAATAAATTTTGCTACAACTATTGTTCTAAAAGTATTTTTGTAACATGCTCCAACTTCCAAGTGTTACCATTAGCTAAAAGTAAAACAAAGAAATTCATCAAATTTTCCTATTTTTCTCAATATTGACGTATCTGAGAGCAAATATAGAAGAGAGCAATATTGTTAATAACAAAATTTGCAACAACTTTTGTTCCAAAAGTTTTTTGATAACATGCCCCGATTCCCAAATGCTACCATTAGCTAATACTAAAAAAGGAAAATCATCAAATTTTTAAATTTTCGTATTTTTCTCAATATTGACGCATCTAACAGCAAATATAGAAGAGAGCAATATTGTTAAGAATAAGATTAGCTACAACTTTTATTATAAAAGTATTTTGATAACATGTTCCAATTTCCAAGTGTTACCATTAGCTAATTGTAAAACAAGGAAATTCATCAAATTTTGAAATTTTCGTATTTTGCTCAATATTGACGCATCTGAGAGCAAGAATACAAGAGAGCAATATTATTAACAACACAATTTGCAACAACTTTTGTTCTAAAAGTTTTTTGATAACATGCTTCGATTCCCAAATGCTACCATTAGCTAATAGTAAAAAAGGAAATTCATCAAATTTTTTAATTTTCGTATTTTTCTTAATATTGACGCATCTGAGAGCAAATATACAAGAGAGCAATATTGTTAATAACAAAATTTGCAACAACTTTTGTTCTAAAAGTTTTTTGATAACATGCTTCGATTTCCAAATGTTTCCATTAGCTAATAGTAAAACAAGGAAATTCATCAAATTTTTAAATTTTCGTATTTTTCTCAATATTGACGCATCTAACAGCAAATATAGAAGAGAGCAATATTGTTAAGAATAAGATTAGCTACAACTTTTATTATAAAAGTATTTTGATAACATGTTCCAATTTCCAAGTGTTACCATTAGCTAATTGTAAAACAAGGAAATTCATCAAATTTTGAAATTTTCGTATTTTGCTCAATATTGACGCATCTGAGAGCAAGAATACAAGAGAGCAATATTATTAACAACACAATTTGCAACAACTTTTGTTCTAAAAGTTTTTTGATAACATGCTTCGATTCCCAAATGCTACCATTAGCTAATAGTGGAATAAAGAAATTCATCAAATTTTGAAATTTTCGTATTTTGCTCAATATTGACGCATCTGAGAGCAAGAAT